TATAATAAAAGAGATGAGCCTCAAATAAACACAGTTGTCTCCTGAGCAGCTTTAGCTAAAGAGTTTGTGTGGAAAGATAAAAATAAAAATTTGCATGGTTTGCGTGGGAGGTGTCTAGAACTATTGCTGTGAAAATCTGGCTTTGATATAGACTTTAACTTTAGCATTAGAAATGGGCTTAGATTGCTTTTTTGGCTTTTGACTAAGATCAAATATAGAAGAGGCCTCAGAGGTAAGATAGTTTAATGCACATGAAAAAATGTTAGCCATTAAATGTCCACTATCTTCCAGCTACTATCTTGGTCCTTTTATATGCATTATCTCTGTTAACTACCATGAAACCACACGGAGGATGTGTTATTATCCCTGTTTCAGTGATAAGACGTGGGAGACCCAGAATTCCCCGAGGCTGCGCAGCGCTGCAGTGCTGCAGGCGCTTGTGTCACACCCAGGCGGACTGCAGCCCCCTCTGCAGGAGCAGTCTTGTCTCCACAGGTGGCCCCAGTGAAGTACCTGCGGGTGAGCAGCCAGCCCAGACTGTACACAGCCCCAGGATGGACCCTGTCAGCCTTTCCCGTGGGCATGGTTCTTACCTTCATTAGTCACTTCTACAATAGCATCGGAGAGAAATTCCATACCCACAACACTCAACTTTCTCTGTCTCTGAACAGGTATGGTATAGAGGTCAAAGCAATGTTTCCGCTGGGCATGGGGGCGCACATCTGGAATTCCTCATGATGGGAGGCTGAGGCAAGAGGACTGCAGGTCTGAACCCAGCCTGGCCAACTTAGCAATTTAGTGAGACCATGTCTCAAATAAAAAAGGACTAACGTGGTTCAGTGGGAAGGCCTTGGGTTCAATCCCTGGTACTGAAAAAAAAGTTGTTGACACTGTAGTAGAAACCTTATGTATTAGGCTAGCAGCTCCAGTAACTTCTTTCACATCCAGAACTTGGAATCTGATCTTTATTTATCTTGTTAGGATTAAAAACAGGCTGGGGTGGGCATGGTGGCACAGGCATGTAATCCCAGCCCTTGGGAGGCACTCCTGAGGCTGAGGCAGGAAGATCGCCATGAGTTCAAGGCCAGCGTGGGCTACAAAGTGAGTTTAAGGCCTGGCTGAAATGCATAGCGAGACCCTGTCTTAAAAAGACAAAAAAAAAAAAAAAAAAACAACAAAAAAAAACCAGGCTGGGGATATAGCTCAGTGGCTGAGCACTTGCCTAGCATGCATACGGCCCTGGGTTTCATCCCTAGTATCATAAAAAAATAAAAAATAAAATAAAAGATCAGGCTTAAAGAATGGTTTAATTATCAATAAAGAAAAATTTCAACTGAGCCTGGTGGCACACACCTGTAATCTCAGGTCTTGGGAGGCTGAGGAAGCCTGGGCTACATAGTTCAAGACTGGCCTGAACTACTTGGTGAGACCATCTCAAAAAACAAACAATAACAACAACAACAAAAAAAGAAAGAAAGAAAGATTGATTTTAGGGGCTGGGGATTTAGTTCAGCGGCACAGTGCCTGCCTGGCAAGTACAAGGTCTTGAGTTCGATTCCCGGTACCGGAGAAAAACCAAAAAAAAAAAAAAAAGAAAGATTGGTTTTAATAGATTTTGAATCTGTCAAGGCTTAATTCATAGAAAAGATCCATAGAGAACTAAATAGAGGGAGGTTTTTTTTGTATTTTTGTTTTTTACTTAGTTTGGTTTTGTTTTCATGTAGTGTGGTTTTTGTTTTGGGGGGGGTTTTTTGGTTTGTTTGTTTTTTTCCAGTACCAGGAATCGAACTCACAATCTCATGCTTGCCAGACAGGCACTGTGCTGCTGAGCTAAATCCCCAGCCCCAAGTGTGGTTTTTGGTGATAGGGTCTTGCTATGCAGTTCAGGCTGCCTTGAACTCACTGTGTAACCCAGGCTGGCCTCCAACTCAGAGTAACCCTCTTGCCTCAGCCTCCTGAGTGCTAGGATTACAAGCATGCACCACCATGCCAACTGTAAGTAGAGTGTTATTTAAAAGCTTTATTGGAGGAAAATTTTAAAGCCTTAATATTAAAAACTCTCTTCTGTTGCTCTCATCAGAATTGAGGGGTACTTGGGAGGCTAAGGTAGGATAATTACAACTTTGGATACAGCCTGGGCTATACAGCAAGGTCCAGGCCAGCCAGGACTATAGAGTGAGATCCCATCTCAAAATAAACAAAACAAGCAGAAAAATAACTGAAGGAGAAAAGGCTTGTTGGAAACCAGGTGTAGTGGTGCATGCCTGGAGGATTGTAAGTTCAAAACTCGCCTGGGCAAGTTTAGAGAGACCCAGTCTCAAAATTAAAAATAAAAGCTGAAGATATAGGTTACTGTTAAAAGCCCTCTGACTGAGTCCCCAGTATATACATAGATACACATATACTCAGACACATTAAACTAATTAATTAAATTTAAATTTTTAAATAAAAGGCTGAGGGTGGTGCATGCTTGTAGTTTGGACTACATAGCAGAACCCTGTCTCAAACAAACAAAAAGTAATAGCACACACCTGTAATCCCCGGCACTTGGGAGGGTGAGGCAAGATAAACGGACTACAATTCCAGGTCTGCCCAGCCCCTGTCTCAAACAAAATAAAACAAAGCCTTAGGCTGGGCTGTAGCTCAGTGCTAGAGTCCTTGCCTAGAACTAGCAGGCATGAGGCCCTGGGCCCAAAATAAAAACAAAAGCAGGGAGTGAACATGTTGAGGATATAGCTCAGTATGAAGATACAGATGCAAACTGGGCGTGGTGGGACAGGCCTGTAATCCCTGCACTCGGGAAGCTGAGGCAGGAGAATCGTTGCAAGTTCGAGTCCAGCCTGGGCTACAAAGTGAGCTCAAGGCCAGCCTGAACTGCATAGAGACCCTGTCTCAAAAAGATTTAAAAAAAAAAAAAAAAAGATACTGGATTAAATCCCCAGTAACCACAAAAAAATAAATGTATAATTACAAAATTAAAAAGGCCTGGAAGCCAGGCATGATGGCACATCCCATAATTGCAGCATTCTGAGAGGCTGAAGCAGGAGGATTGCAAGTTCCAGCCCAGTCTGGGCAACATAGTGACCTAGTAAGACTCTGTTTCACAATAAAAAATAAAAAAGGGCTGGGCCAATAGCTCATTGCTGCAGAGGTTCTGGGTTCAACACCCACTACCACACATATGAAAGAAAAAAAGAGAGGGAGAGAGTGTGTGTGTGTGTGTATGTGTGTGTGTGTGTTACTGGGAATCAAACCCAAGGTCTTGTTGGTGCTGAGCAAACACTCCCACGCGGCTTATCCTTAGCCATTCTTTTCAGAGAGTTGTGCCTTTCATATCTACTTTCAGAGATGACTTGCTGCTGATTGGACCAGGGAGTAGGAACTACACTTACACGGCCCAGGCCGTGAGCAGAGGAGTGACACTTGTGGGGCTCTGGGACCAGCAGCACCCGGGCATGGCAGATTACGTCCCCGTTGCTGTGGAGTATGCCATCGAGCCAGACACCACGCTGACCTCTGTTGGGGACGTCGTCTGCTTTAGCACTCACCTCGTCAGCCAGCACGGTCTGTATTCCTCGCGCTCTCTCACCTCACAACTGAACGGTTCTGAGGCCTTGAAATCAACTGATCCTCTTTTCCTTCTTTTCTCATTTTTTTTAACCTTTCCCTTCTTTCCCTTCCTCCTACCCCATCCCTTGCTGCACTCCCCATTTGAACATCTGCTTCCTATTTCACAATACCTGCTACATATTTTGGTCCTTATTTACACGTTCAGTTTCTCTCAGCAGAGAAACTATGCAGCGTTTACACGTGTGTCCAATTTATTTCACTTAAGAGTATGACTCAAGGT